CTACTTGAGACTATCCGTCCGGGGGAGCCCTCTAGCAAGACAGGGAGCAGTAACCTCCTCTGTGCCTTCACACTGGACAGATAACAGAAGCCATCTTCCTCTTCTTCATTACTGTGGTAGCTTAGCATCTTAAATTCACTGATGTGATTCTATGCTCATGATGCTCTTACTGGAAAATCCCCATCTTACAGGTGAAGAAGTTAAACCTTAGACTTCCAAGACTTAACATCATATCCTAGCTCTTAAACAGTCTGGCATCCTGGTACACAGGCATCTAATACCAATATCTGACCCTTCGAGACAGTCATGTTTTACTCTCATGCAGATGTTAGCTGAAAAACATTTACTCATCCAAAACAGGATCCCTAATTAGGCCTATGTAGAGCTATTCTTCCATTACCAATAATGACATTGAGCCAGGTATTAAATTACACCTCAGACACTTGTCCCCTAGTTTGCAGCTCTCCCCTAATACAAGACATGGTCTGTACATGGCCCTGGTTGCCAGCAAAAACATTCACTGCACTGTTTTGCTGGCAGAAGAAGAAAGAATCCACACATCATGTTTTATCTATATGGAGAAGAGGACTGGAATTAATGGTAGTAGAGTGGCTTTCTCAGTGGACACTTCTTCAGAACCTACCAGTTAAAATGTGACTATTCCTTCTGAACAGAGAAACCACTCATGGAGCTCTTGCAGCACAATTGCTTTGTCATAGGGTAAAGCTGTCCATGTTTGCCTAAGGGAATCACAACACTTCCAACTGCTTCACCTCCCCTCCTTCACAAAAAACTGATGGAAGCCTGGGATAAGGAGGAAATCAGGATAAAGTGATGGAGAAAGAAAGGAGCTATGACATGCATTTCTGGCAAAGGAGCAAGGAACTGCTCATGGCAAGAATGAATATGTAAACAGAAGAAAAAAACCTCAAACATAACAGAATGATTCTGTTCCTATGTAGTACTGGTCATGTGCTGAGCTATTATGCGACTCAGCTTTCAACGTGGGCACCAAAAACTCAGGTTTTGTACCTCAAGGCCCAAAATTCAGTCCTAGACCCATTATGTTTTACAGCTGATGCAAGACAAAAATGAGGAAGGCATGCCAACTGGGAGGCAAGCAGACGGAAAGGGATTTCCTTAAAGTAGCTGTATTTCTTCAATCTAGAAGTACAGTCCCATTGTACCATGTACAGAGTGAGGAATGACCTCCTTTCCCCCAATTACACCAAACGTTTTCAATGTATCCACCTTCAGAGGAAACCGGCTGGCTCACTCCCACCCAAGCCTACGGCCATGAACCCTTTGCATTTAGCACTATAGCACTGCTACAAGCCCATATTAAAGAGCAGCTACAGAACAGCATGACTGTAGAACACAGAGGGACTCTCCAGATAAAGTTTTGTGGTATAAACTCAGAGCAAAATTTGTTCATCATGGAGGTAAGAAGGATCATATGGAATAGTTTTAATTACCCTCTGTCAGAATGTGCTCCAAAACTCAATTTTATCAAGCCACTGTGACAAACCCTATTCTTAAAGACATAATCAAAACATACAGAGTACTCTTAAATCTCAGTTTACAAAATCTTCTGCTTCGAATGAGATGGACTAGACTCAAGAATTCAGAAGCCTGAAACTCAGGGAAACTTGTTAGAAATTATTTTCCCCATAAACAAGACGGCTCTTCTTCAAAAGACTTAGGAAGTCTAGGGTTTTATTCTAAGGCCACATTTGAAGTGTATTTCAAAGCACACATTCCATATGGCTTTTAAGCTTGAATGTGTCTCCTATTAATAATATGGGAATCTCAGCAGCTTTGGGGAGTTTTTCTATTTTATTTTAAGAAGCCTTTGCTGTTCACCTTTAAACACAGTTCATGTGCCCACATCAACATGTAAGAAGATATCCTCAACCTTTTTGATTTACGTTTCTTCAATACATCAGCAGAGATTAAAGTGTGGCTAAGCCTTCCCTTTTATCTTGGCATAATTCATTTTTACTGCATATCAACCTTCTCCAAGGCTGGATATTTACATATTAATAATGAAGCCTGCTTTTTAATTCCTCCCCCCATCCCTTTAACTTCATATATTAAAAAGTGTCGATAGATAAGACTTGGCTCTCAAATTAATGATGGTAGTAAAGCAGAGTTCAAATTATTCAATTAAAATGTTTACTGTCCTCCCACATTTGAGCTAAGATGGGATTTCACTCAGGGAAATTGCCCTGCTCTGATGCTGATGGAGGAGGAGTAGGTTTGATCATTTCCCCAAACTGGCTAAAACTATATGGAAACAACAGTTTGAACATCTTAACTATTTCCTAGTTATTGACATTCTAGAAATAGTGTGAAGTGCAAAGAGACTAAGGAAGCAACTCCATGGTTTCTTTAAGCCAATTTATGTGTGAGTTGCAGTCAGAATGAACAGGCATGACCTCTTCCACCCCATCATCTATCCTTCACTCCGTCATGTCTCCCCACTGTCCTCTGTGTTGGAACTACTAGTCCTGCAGCTGCATGGTTAGCATGGCCAGGAAGCTAAACCACCTACAAACTAATCCTCCCCCCCTCTTTTTTCCTGCCAGGTCATTTCCTACTGCACAGCTGCATAACCACTAGTATTAGCAGAACGAAAAGTGGTGGGAACATGTAGTTGCAAGATGGGAAAAGACCACTCCTGACAGCAGCTAGCACTTCAGTCAGGTCAGAAAAGCGATGAAATCATAGCATAAGTATCTGTTCATGCAGCTTGGACTACAGAGCAGACGTAGCCAAACTAGCTTTAGAGTGACTCCATTTGAGTATTGCGGCAGAGAGCTCAGGCCAGGCCAATTGCCCAAGATGTACCCAGGTTCTTGGGTTGTTTTCATTCACAGACAGAGGAACAACATCAATAGGCAATTGCAATTCTTTCCAACTCTGCAGACAGCAGTGCTTCTCTTCCACAGGGCTTAAGCCAGCTCTCACCAACAGCCAAAGCAGTCTTTACATGGACATTGATGGAACCAGATCAAATCTGCAGTATGTGAAAACAGCAACAAGCAGTAGCTGCTCTATTCCCTCCCTGCACTGCTGTATCACTGCGCTGCCCTGCTCCCACATTCTCATTATTTCATTCTATGGTTTTTGACATCTCATAAAGCCCCAGTTCCTGGAATCAAATCTATGTGCCTTATTTAAAGGAAAACCAAAATGTTATCAGATAGCTTTGCAGAGAAGTTTAGAGGTACAGAAAAGGAGCAGATTAATTAGGACAATACTATCCCCATAAACAAGCAACAAAAAAGAAAACCATCCCTACCTTTATGCCATCCTCATGTTTTTGGTTTTAAATTTTTGGGATTTTAAATTATTTATTATTTTAATACTTAAAAAAAGATGCTTGATCTGGAACTATTCCAAAAGTGACAAAAGAGGAGCACTAACAAAAAAGAAGCCAAATTTGCACAGATACCAGCAGTGCTGACAACACCGTGCCCTAAAGAAGGCGGCTGTTACTGGAATGTGTACCATTTGTCATCGCCGAATGTCTCCTTTTTTCCTCACAGTATTTATTTGATGCACATAGCAAAACTGTAAAATACGCACTACAAGGTCCACTACAAATGCCCACAGAAATACCGTCTCTGAGATTCTGAGACTTTTGATGGGCACTGCAGGGACCTGCATTGATCTCAGTCTAAAAGATCCTTCGCTGTGGACTAGGCTTCAGAAGCAAAACAAAACAAACACATACTCATGTTTGAGGAGAAATCTTGATAGATCAGTTTCTACTAGTGAAAAGTGTGTGTTCCACAGCACAACAGCGTCACATGCAACCTCTCAGAATCAGGTACAAGCTGTCTTTTGTGCCTACACCCTTTCCGCTAAGTGAAAGAAGGACCTAAGAAAAAATTACATCATCAGTAGAGATTTTATCTCCTCCAGACAAATTAAACGCTGCTACACAGAAACTCAAACTAATAAGAGTCACTTAAAAGAAGGCAAAAAAACAAACAAACAAACAAAAAAAAAAAAAACAAAAAACAAAAAACCACCACCAACTCACTAACAAACACTGGGTCTTCTTACTGACCTTGTGGTGTTTGAGCCTCCCTCAATTGCATTAAGGTCACTTTTTTCCCACCTTAGATCCAGGAAAACTAGTAACCTTATTTGAAAAAAAGGAATTGTATTACCTAACCCTTATTTGACACTTTTTAATCTATAGCTGTCAAAAAAAGATCAATATCACTACCTACATACAATACCACTATTTGCACAAACTCCATCGGTAGCACACAAGTCACTTCAAAGCATAGTGTCCAGTACCAAGCCAGCAGCTGCTGTCACCAACAGTGAACACAGAATAAAACATCCATGAACCCTTATTCTATGCTAAACCACAAAAACACATCCTATCTAATCTACTGATTTGAGAATTTGAAGACTGTGGTATAATATCAACACTGAGAGCCTGGATTTTTTGTTCGTTTTAACTACAGGAATGGCCAACTACTATATTATCTTACAGGTATTCACTCAGCCTGACCATGTTGTTCTTCCTCAGGCTACACCCCCCATTGAAGCCAGTGGAAGCTTTGTCTTCTCAACTGGGCCCTGCATTAGCTAGATGAAAAGGTTTGCTGCCTCTGGCTGTAGGGAGGTTAAAGACAAGCATCTGCTCTTGGGTTGAAAACCGAGATAACTGGACACACTCCTTTATGTCTATAAGGATAAAAAAAGGTCCATGGAATATTTCATAATTAGCTGTAAAAAACAGTACTGACAACAGTAATATGTTTATTATCACCACCCATTTCTGAGTCAGTTATACAGTCTGGTTGTACCCTCCCCTCCCATTCCCTTCCATCCCCTGGCAAAAAAAAAAAAAAAAAAAAAAAAAGGCAACCCAATCCCCTTGCTGCAAAACACTTCAGACAATCAAGAGCTTATCTAGGCATCTCAGTGATTTTACAGTGTTACACATATCCTAGTATCACAAGAATATGTTTTACCTTGAGGCAAATGTTTTAATTTATGTGCATGTGAGCTATTTGCAATACCTCCACCAAATGGAGCCCATATAACCCGTCGGATGGCTTTCACCCAATCTTCCATTTCATTCTGGGAATTAGCCATGAGCAGGAAAGCCTCATGATTGACAGGCATCTTTTCCCGGTCCCCTGCACCACCTGAAAGACAGAATACAAATCTCTTTTAGGATGTAGTTCAGAAGAGAGCAACCAATGTTTAAAACCACCAAAAGTCTGGGTCAAAATGACCAAAAGATTATTTTAATTGAGCAGTTTTACACACAACTCCTACTCATCTGCTGCAGAACCTGCAAAGCACATGTTGGTAGAAGATCATAGCAGAAGCGCAAAACGTGCATTTTCAGTGTGGGAACCTGGAAACATTGTACCTGCTGTCCCAGAAATAAGCAAAGTGAAAGCACAGGCCGTAAAACCCTACAGGAAGAGTATGGTATTAATTCCACTCAGGAAAGTACTGACCAGAATATCATATGCACACAAGCTGTTATATACATCTGTCACTTGTGGATACCCCAAGACTTGCAACATTTTCACCTTTCTTTTCCTGTTTTCTTTTAAGGTCAGCACCCACTTCAGTCAGTTTAAATCTTCCCCTCACCCCTTGTTCTATGTTCCAGAGCTGGATACAACTTAATGAGGGCCACATAAACACATAAAAGCTTTATTGGAGCAGACTCTGTATAAAAAGGCTACTGATCCTGTCCAACACAGCAGCTGCATCACTAATGGCCTGGAGCTTCTCCATCACCATGGAAACTGCCTTTGGCTTTGCTACAGAGATAACATCTTAGCCCTTGTGTCACTGTCATTTCCACGTTTACATGGCTTTCAGTACCTACTGGAAAGCTAAAGCTTCCAGCCTGCACTAAGCAGCTGAGATTGCCTCTCCATGGAATTCAGAGATCAGAGCACAACGATGGTATGCAGTGGCTTCTGCAGAACTGATTTAGCATACACAGAACACACACCTCCTAAAATCCTTGCTAATCCGGGGAGAGGAGCAAGCTGGGAGCTGCCTGCAAGCCAAGGAAGTACTTTTTCTTGTTATGGTTTCTTGGCCTAGACACATTCATGGATCATATGCTGATTTGCAAAGCAAAAGGGGTAAAATGAGGAAGGATTTTTGTGGCGCTCTGAGAAGCAATTCACTGAACTGGGAAACTGAGGCAGTCTTTCAGTAAAGAAGAGAGACAACGGCCACCTGGGTCTAGTCATGCAGCTTAAGAAACAAAAGCCATGATGCTTTTTCCCCATGTGTATTCAAATTCTGCTTCTTTCCTCATAGCATCCTCTTGGACAGTCTCCCATTTTGAATTTACTGAATGATTCATATTCATTAAGGCATATGAAGCAAAACAGCTCTCTAGCTCAAGGCTAGGATACAGACATCTGAACAGATCAATGCTCCACCATACTCCACCACAAGGAGGACATACTTCAACCTTTGCATACAGAACTGTTGGAGCAGGAAATTGCAGTCTGTGAAACTTGGGTCACAGTCTAATTCTTTTACCAACATACTCAGCCTCTTGGGGAAAGCAGAGGACATGAGGTCTAGTTCTTGTACCTTACCTAGCAGACCTATTGCCATGCCCTTTCACAACTGAGTATCATGCAGAAGATACAACAGCAATAAAGAGGCTTTTCACAGCACTCAACACACGTGAGAAAGGGGGCGGTTCAGGATCTGGCATCTGGTAGATAGATGGCCTGAGCTCAAGCTAGCTCTTCAAAGGAATTAAACAGACTCAAAAAAAATGTACTGTCACACCATCAGCAAACAACCGAGCTTTGTCAAGGTAAAACACAGATCCTATTCTTAAAGAGACCCAGCTGAGATCTTGTCCACCCAAGCCATGAAAGACAAGAAGAGACAAGAATCTTTGCTTAGAATTAATTACAGACCACAGATTTAATCAGGACAGATGAAGTAACCCATACAAAGATTACCATATGAAGCATAATAAGCAGAGAAGGATGAAGATGACTTCTTACTGGACTTTTGCAGAAGTGGTGTCTCAGCATCTTCCCACTGAATCACTGTACCACAGGGATCTGATTACAACTTTGCCCCTAAGATGTTATTTTGGACCAGTCAGCTGCCTTCTAAACCTTTGTGGGCCTTTTTCACACAAGCATTAGGGAAAAAACATTTATACTTCTATTTGAGTCTGTAAAAAGTAAAAACAGGATGGGAAAAAAAGATTCCTGTTTATACTAGACCTGAGACTCTGCCAAAAACTACTTGCAGCTCCTCTGTGGTTGGCTTTCCCCACTGAAACTTTAAATAGGAGCAAGGTCATGACCCTACAAGCTGCCTGTGGGAGAGTCAGTAGTGACTAGTCACATAAGTACAAGCAAATTAAGACAACTCTATGCAGAGGGTAGATTAGAAACAAGAATGCACTTCAGAATTGCTTCTTAGAGAAAGACTCATGTGTTTGCATGACATGAATATGCAGTGGCAGAGAATACAGACCCACCTATAAACTTTTTTTTCTTTTTTTTAAATAACATTTTAATCCTGTTCCTTTCGACACATGGCTGTCTCCTTTCACCACATCCTTGAGGCAACAGGCAGACCTAGAGTTCTCTAAAGGGCAGAATTCAGACACATCTCTCTACATTGTTGTAATTTCCAACAGGTTTTGAGTATTAGTAGTCACACTAATGAGAAACAACTGAATTCAAACACTTAAATCTTCAAAAAAAAACAAGGAAACAATGCCACATACACCTTCTTCAGAAGTCCAGAATTTTACCCAAAATTCACAGATTAAACTTTTTTTTCTGGGCTCAGACCTAAAACAGGATCCTGTTATGGGTTTTGGATGTGAGTTGGCAATACAAATGCTGTATCAATTCAAACACGTCTTTAGGAGTTGTTTTAAGAAAATAATTTTAAACCTTCCTGCTTAGAAACACTTGGATATGGAATTTCAGTTTTGCCTCTCACAGCAATATGAAGTTTGCATTCAGATACTGCATTCAAACCTCTTCTTGGCCACTAATGGAGCACCAGCCCTTAATACAGTTGCCGTTAGACACTAACCCTGAAGTGCACGAGCGCTACGTCTAGTCCATGAATCAAACAGGGTTCTATCTACTCAGCACCATATGAAGGAATACTCTGCTAATAATTTTTAACACAGACATTGGCTTTTCATTCCCTTGAACAGAACTTCTCACTGATCTTTAATCAAGCTGCCATACAAAAAAGACTGGCCCTCAGAGACCAAATCTGTGTAGCTCAGGACTCTCACGGGCAAACATTGCATTCCTGCTCAAAGCTACTTTAATCTCTAAACTAGAGAAAAAATGAAACTGTCTGCAAACACAGAGTGCAAGCATCTCAACAAATCTGGCAGAAGCAAGAGACTTAACTTTGCGGATGAATGGTCCATCTGCTTCAACATTAACTTATGACCACGGGATCCTGTGTTCAGTTGCCTGTTCTGCTGCAGATTTCCAGTGCACGTTGAACAAGATACACTGGATTCCATCCCTATCCATAAAGCAAGCTGTCAGTACTAATCACCTTCCTCCCAGGTGTACAGACAGCAAACAATTTGAAGACCAGGAAAGGTGATGGCAAACATACAAGTACATACAGTAAATGTAATCACCTAGAAAGATTAAGGGACTTGTTTTGTTACTGCTCACCACCAAAAGCGGTGCAGGTCCCAGCTGACTTCAAATGCTTTGCCACCCCTGTTTCAAGGTACCTTTGTCAAGTTGCTTTACATACACTGGTAGATATCTTTGCCTGGAGGGAACAGCATAGCTCCAAGCCCCTAGCCGCATTGCACAAATGCCCTCTCTTCCAGACCCAGACTAGTTAAAGCTGGTAGGATTTCTCTCATATGCTGTCTGCTCATGGGGTTTGTGCAACTGCATTTCATATGGTCTCAGAGACAGCTGCTGCTAATCCTTAATAATAGTCCTCCTTTCAGATCTCCCTCATGCCCCACCAACAGGGAAGATTAAAGGGCTAAGTGACTTGTTGAAGGTCAGAGTGCTGCAACTGCAGCAGGAATCACAGTCCACTTTTCAAAGCCCTATTTACTGAAAAATCTTCCTTTTTTTGACCATCCTTAGTCTCATATGGGTTCACTGTAAAGTGCAAAGCACAAGGCTGCCATTATATATATACCTGTCCTGCTCTGTGTCCCTGGTTCAAAGAACCTGTAACAGACTTTCAGTTGCATCTCTCCCTTTATACAGCTGTTTCCAATGAAGAAACATTGGAATTTTTTGCTTGCTTTGAACTTCATTCATACAAGCTTAACCTTCTTAAGATCAACATTTGTGAAGCTAAGCCTTAGACCCCCTTTGTCTGTATGGAAACAGAAGTTCAGGGGGGAAGAGGACTGGACTTCCTAGTAGGAAATGTTCCTGCCACATTGCATGTAAAAGGAGGAACTTTTCTATTCTCAAGTAAAGCTTCTGTCAGGTTTTGCTGAAGTTGGCAGCTTCTTTTTTTTGTTGAGACTGTTTCCCTTTCTTCCACCCCCACATCTGGTTTGACTTTCACCCATTTCTTACATCATTGTGCTTACTGATGTGCTTGTGTCTTGACATTATATCAACTCCACTGAAAATTTACACAATTACAAATGCTTGTGTTTGTGTATATATTTACATGTTTGCATTGCTTTGGTGTGGATAGTAGAGTGGTATTTTCAGTAACAGTGAAATTTAGTTGGCCATGTGCATGCTGCTGCAGCGCATGGGGAGGCAAAGGGCAGTTCAAGGCTTAATTATGAAAGGGGTGGTTGGTGGGTAATGCAAGGCCCAGCTGACATGTTTGCCCTCAGTACTAAAGCAAGTAGTGACAGGAAGCCTTTGATTGCAGACAAGCAGTATCAAAGATCTTGAGAAATGGACAAAAAGTAGCACCCACAGCTGAAAAGAACAATTGCAATGATTCACCTTCCCTGACCTGCTCTTTATGACTGTCTTAAAGATGAGTATCAGATTCAGGGCTCTAAGATCTCCCCAATAATGAAAGAAAGTGAAAAATTAGGGAGATTAATTCTGTCAAGATTAAGGGCAGCTCTATGAGGGGGAAACCTTTCTTTGCACAGCAGGAAGAATAAAACAAAACAAAACCTCAGACTTGATCTTTAGATTTTGTA